AAAATAAGTACACTTACATATTTTTACTTCAAAAAGCTAAAACCAAAGCACATGAAACTAGTAAGTTTTTTGCTGGTGACTTATAATTTTTCAGTGTAAAATTTCCTTCATTCAAGAAACTATATTGATACAGTTTTTTTAATAACACTCAACACACTGTTTTGTTTCAACTTTCACTTTAGCTTTCTGTCACTTTTTATTTTAAACAATCAAATCCGCTTTAAAGTCAAATGGTAAGCTCAATGCTTGGATCAGTTTAATTTTTGGTCTGACTCGTTTTTTCTTTCTTGAGGGTAAGAACAAAGTTTTTCAATTCATTGTTATGTAAGAGAGTAATATTCAACAAATATACTTATTTAGATCTTGTGCTGAACAATGGATATAGTTTTACCAGATTAGTATTGTTTACTGAATTATCATGAACTTATCTGCAGTATTCTTCAGCATTTATACTTAATAATTTTTGTAGAATACCTTGTGAGAATTTACAGGTAACTCAGTAATGATATTCTGTACAGCTGTTATTAAATGGCCACACTGTTTGTTTAATTTTAGAAGAAAGTTGAGGAACTCATCACCACTAAAGAAAGGAAACAAACAAAGAGGAATCACTTAAAAGCAATTTACTTCATTCTATTGGGCTAGTTACTAAGGATCTAGTCATAAAATTAAATTCTTTCAAAAATACTTATAGAATAGATAACATGTAATAGCAACTGAAATGGAGATTAAATACAAGAGAAAAATAAGATCCTAATCTTGAGAAGTTCAAGCTTCAAGATGAGATGCAGAGACACAATTATAACATTGTTATTATAAAGGCACACAGGGAGAAAGAAAATAAAAGAACCAGTATCTGAGTATCTATTATGTGAACACACTATACTATTTTTACATTTATTATTTAATTCTCCCCAATAACATATGTTAATACTAGTTTATAGTTGAGGTATCTAAAACTCATAATGAATTTGATATCACACAGTATGGTTAAGAAAAAGAAATTAGAAATACTTTACAGAGATAATATTTGAACTAAGCTTGGAGCTGAAGAGTAAGTTTGCCAGCTAGGTAAGGGATTCTGGATGGAGAGAATAGGTACAAAGTGCAAAAGTACAGGGCCAGGCCAGGGATTTAGCACAGCGGAACCACACCTGCCTTGCAAGTCCAAGGTCCTAAATTCAATCCCTGGTACTGTAAAAAACAAACAAAAAACCAAATGTACAGGGCAGCATGCATTAGGGTATAACTAAAGTGTAAATTATGAGAAAGTACAAGAGAAGAGGCTACATGTAACCATTTAATAAAAGATTATACCTTTTTGATAATGTAGTTACTAAAGGATTTTAAACAGGAAAAGTAGAAAATCATGCTTTATGAGACAGTTTATTTGGAGAGTGTATGGACTAAAGGAACACAAAAATATAAGTAGAAAGGATAACTGGGTGTTATGGCTTATACCTAGATGTCCCCCCAAAGCCTCATGGGCTTATAGGTGTGGCTTTTGGGAGGTGGCTGGGTCATGGGTGACACTGGAATTAATGTATGTGGTAATTTAGTTTAACATAGATCAGGGTATGGATAATGGAAGCTCTACCCTGGGTATGGGTGGTACCATCCAAAAGGTTTGTAGCCTGGATGGGTTAAAAGGGAAAGGGAGGCTTGTTTGTTGCTCCCGCCTCCTGCAGGTCCTGCAATGGACTATTTCTCCTCTGCAATGCCCCTCTGCCATACCAGCCTGCCTTAGAGTTAGTCAGTGACTATAGACTGAAACCTCTACTGTCTGTGAGCTAAAATAAACTTGCCTTCTTTAACTCCAGGTGTTAGGTATTTTGTCCCAGCAACAAGAAAGTAACTAAGACCCTGAGGGAGTTAAGAGAAAAATCATTCAAAAGATGCTGAAGGAAAGCTTAAAATAAATACCTGACTATCTCAATAGAGAGAAGAGAGAGACAGTAGTTAAGAAATTTTTAGGAAAGTAAATGGAAAAATTTGGTAATAGAATATATGAAAACAAAAGGAAGAATGTGGGATGAGTCTCAGTTTTTTTGGTTTCAATGGAAGTGTTACGAACAAGCAAGGAATTGAATTTGGGGTTGGGTGGTGGGAGGGTAGGGGATGAAGAGAATATTATGGTATAATAATTAATAACACAAACTTGGATTCAGCTTCCATACTTATGAGCTTTATGATCTTTAACAAACTTAATCTTGAGCAAAATGTTTCTATATCTCTAGAATGGAGACAGAGAAAACACCTAACATTCTGTCACAAAATAGCTGGCATTCAAGCAAAGTCATTATGGCAGTGTCTGCAATGAAGATGAAACACGCAGGTGACAACAAGCAGTAGGCAGCAGAAAATGTAGGTCTTACAAGGGTATTTATCCTGAGATCTACAGACTCATGAGGCTAGATACAATTCAGAATGAGAGAAAATTAATGGGAAAAATAATTTTTATTTTTACTAGCCCCTAACTGGAACTGAATCTTTCCTTCAGTTGTGAATATACATACAAACCACAATAGTATTAGAAATATCTGTGATTTGGTCAACAACAGAAATCAAAGCTATGATCATGAAGAAGACCACAGAGAAAACGAACATACTGCAAAGAGGGGTGAAATGGTAATGGTAGAAGAAAAAAGCCATTAAAGGAAATGTAGCCTGAGAAACAGGAGAAAATCTGGAGTTAAAAATTGATATGAATAGCAAAATGAAGGAGATGACTTCAAGAAAAAAAAGGTTAAGCATGTTAAATAAGTTTAGATTTTTGAGTCAGCAGGAGAGTGTAGTGATTAGACTAGTTTCAGTGACAGAAGCCCATTTACAGAGGAGACTACAAAGAAACTCATACAATCCAAAAGAAAAGTTAGCCAAGGATATGAACAGATAATTCAGAGAAAAGAAAAAAAATATGAATGGATAATTTGGAAATATGAATAACCTTCAGGTGCTACATTCTAGAAAATGACAAAAATTAAATAGAACATCAACATTCAGAGCTGACAAATGATGGGCTGGGGATTTAGCTCAGTGGTTCTGCTACCTGCCTTGCAAGCCTAAGGTCCTGAGTTCGATCCCCAGTACCAAAAAAAAAGGCAAAATAAAAATTTTGGGCCGGGGATTTAGCTCAGTGGTTTCACCGCCTGCTGCACAAGCGCAAGGACCCGAGTTTGATCCCTGGTACCAAAAAAATAAATAAATAAATAAATAAAAATAAAAAGAGCTGACAAATGCATGGGATGACCTTTCTGGAGAGCCCTTTAATAGTATGTATTCAAATAAAAATGTACCTAAAATCTATTATTATGGGGCCAAAAGATATAGATCCAAACAAATTCTTGGACGTAGAACTCTCTGACTATACCTATAAGGCTTTTTTCACATTATTTTCTAGAAGAAAACTTTATAAAAAGCAAATGGGTTAGCTTCTAATGAGACAAATAGCAAACTTTCCCCTAAGACATCCTGCTAGGATGTATAAAACATTTTCACTTAAGACAAGTCTTTTTCTTATTATTAGGTTGAAAAATTAAGTTTTATAAAATGTAAACTTTATAATCTATCCATCCAACTACTATCTATCAATTGATGTGTCACTGACCATGATTATGGTTGATTTCAAAAAACAAATTAAAAAATTATAAACTCATGTTCTATTTAGCAATAAAAACAATACTTATGAAGGCATTTTCAAAATACATATAATTCTTTATTCTATCTCCTTTCTGATCTCTACTCTAGAAAGAACATACAAGACATATTTCTGCTAAAGCAATAGCAGTGATTACTTGTATTAATTTTTGTTCCTATGTAATATTTATAAATTATACTTACAATTTAGATTTTAGTGCATAAATACTAAAATTTGTTCATTATCAATAACTACTCAATGGGCCAGGAATTTAGCTCAGTGGTTCTGTTGCCTGTCTCGCAAGCTCAAGGTCCCGAGTTTGATCCCTGGTACCCTCCAAAAAATCAACCAAAATAACTACTCAACAAGTAACCCATTAATGTTATAAAACATTTAAAGTGCTCAAGAAAATTAAGACCCATTGAGAATTGTCATTGAAAATTATCAAGTAATAGCAGTAATGTAATTCTAGATAGATGATTCACAAATATGTAAGTGGAAGAGAAATTTGTCAGCTCTTATTCAGAAGACAGCAAGGAAATGAATAAGAAACTCAACTGAAACAATATTACTAGAAAAAGTCTTCATTAATAAAAGGAATATTTTAACTTTTTTGACATATAATTCTCAAGGCCACTGAATATGGATAGGCAAGTTATACAAAACATAGTTCTACAGAATACCAAATATCATACATTATGTGAATGGGGTCTTCTTGTCAGAACTGTAGAGCATGAAACCTACACAACTTTACATGGCAGCCCTAATAATTTTGTGCCTATTTAAAAAATTCAAAACAAGCAGATATGACATAGGTGTGGTAAACTGATTTATTTGATGTAATTATTGTGTGTGTGTGTAACTGAGCTAATTACTATTAGGCCCCTCCCTATCCAGGGATATTTCATTGCCCAATAACATGATACATGGCTATGTAACTTGCTTTGGCAAATAAAATACAACTATGAGTGACTGTATCTTTTGAACACAACCATAAAGAGCTACTGAATGGTTCTGCTGGTTGACTGTTCCTTTCCCTTTTTTTTGCCATTTGAACAGCATGACTGAGATTTAGAGGTCATTTGTTTCCACAATGCAACATAACATCATGTAAACAGATTAAACCAACAGGCGATATTTTGAAAAGTTAAAGTATTAAGATAAAAATTCAAATTTGCAATAAAGGTATTATAGTAAAAGTACTATGTATTAATTATAGAATGTCTGAAAAAATGAAAATCATCAACAATCTTACCACTCAAAGATAGTAACTAGTACTACTTTCTGTTGAGGTATTTTTCTTATAATAAACATTTTCTTCCAGTATTCTTCTAGCTTTTATATTACAATGAGTATGCTTCCATGACATTGTTTAAAAATAATTTTAATAGTGGAAAAATAATCATATCAATGCAATCTAATTCAACCATTTTTCTGAAGTTTCCAATTATAGAATGTTTATAAGTAATACACATGAATAATATACTTTACACAACACTTTGTATCTATGTAGATTTTTCTTTTTTGAGGAGAGTAATGTCTCGATGGTCATAATTTTGAGGAGCTTTTGATATATTCAAGTGGATGTTAGTGGTTCAGAGCTCAGAGAAAAGATCTCAGCAGAAACTTTCAAAACTTTTAAGACATGAATGAAAATTGATTATTTCTGTTCAAAATATCTCAAAATAGTAATGGAGTAGTTATTAACATTTTGAAATTGTATCCCTTACTACTGTGACATTGTAAGGCAGAAAAAATAAATGCAGTGTATTCTTGTAACACATTATTTTAGAAAATTTGACACAAAGTATCTTGAAATAAATCAGTAACTAAGTTGTTAAAATTAAACTACTAGGAGATTATAATCAATTAGTTCAACTTTTCCTGCTGTTAGTTTTCTTATGACTTAATGACTAATTTCTTGTTTTAAGGATGACTTTGAA